AAAATTATCTATAGATCCAACAACGTAGGCAGATGAAATATTACAGGAATCTTAAGGTGCATGTTCAACTAATATGTCCAACCTTTTTTCCTTCGTTTCAGGTGTCTCCAAAACTGTTTGTCCAATAGGGATCTGTACTGTTACTTTTGTTAAGGGTAAACCATTTCCCCGTAAGCTCAGAAATGTATGTTCTCTTTTTAGATGGGACATCAGCCCTCCTATCAACTGTAAATGTTCACCTACCTTTTGGAGAAGCCCAAAGTGCATCTGGATTCAACTTTATTTCCTCATTTGATATTAAATCTGAACCCCGTGGAGAGTCCTCTGGTGACACTGAGGACAGTGCGGATGAAGGTAAGCAGTTGTGTTATGTGGACCTCTTTACAGCTATCATTTCTGACTTGGGAAAATGAAAACTTTAAAGTAGAACATTCATGAGGAACAGTCATTGTCTATGCTGTGATCCATTACTACACACAGGACTGAGGACATACTGTGAGTGCAGGGTGTCATGGACAGTCCTCATCACAACACCCTATGTTTACCATGTAATGGTGCAGGGAGTGTGTTGACGACGTCATGTTGGGACTGCTCTCTGCATCGTTGAGGATCATTCAGTCTGGAGTAAATGTGAAGAAGACCATGTGGCATCACATGACTGCCATGAAAACTTTGGAAAAAGGAGGGGCAGGCGCACAAATTTAGGCTTTAAAGTCAATCCTATCCCTTTTGACCATTCATGGGAAAAGTGTCAGGTTCTCCACCTCAACCACTGATACGGGTCTTCCTTGTGCTTCTCCACTGCCGCTTGTTGGACTTCCCCCAGTCAAACCCCTATATGCACATTGGGGGGGTACGCTTGTATGACTGCAGCAAGAATATTGGTTTGAGTTGGGGCAGTGACTGATGAACTGTAAAATTGGGGCAGTGACTGATGAATTGTAAAATTGGGGCAGTGACGGATTACCCTTTGTTGGCATCATTGTACATGGAGAGGAATCCTTTTTTTCACATACTTCAAAGCTGCACTTTGTCCCTCCAGAATCTTCCCAGGTCCCTCGTTCTGATCGGAAACTTGTATACAATATTATCAATCACGTAAAGGAGGAGCCAGAGGAAAGCCAAGATTCGGATATGTCTGAATGTGAGGACACAGCAAGTGCCGGTAAGCATATTTGTTAACTTTTTTGTTAAAATGCATGTCCAGGCATTTCTTCTTTAAATTTTTTATTTTTTTTTATATATATATCTAATTTGTGCATGGCTCGGTCTTTCATTTTCTGTAATTATGGGCTATTTATGCTATTGTATTACAATAATGCACAAAAAACAATGTAGTTCCATTCATATTTAAGGTAGCATAGTACACTTGGAAACCATCTGTATGATGTAGTCCATTAAAGTGTTACTAAACCCAGGACCCTGCATTCACTAGATCTGGTCTCCCACAGTACACAGAACATGGAAATGCATCTTTTTTTAGTAAATATAAACTGCTAGATACTTTTTCTCATCAGCAGTATATAGCAGTCTTGTGACTTCTATTAATGTCCAGCTGAGCACTAGTTAATTTTGTAAGAGGCGTTTCATTCTTCTCTGACTGTCCTATGAGGCTGCATGATCCCTGACCCTCTGTCTGGACAGTTCAGTTCTGTGCTGATCATATGCACCCTCCTAAAAAAAACTGAGTAAAACACACCAAACTGAGCATGTGCAGAGTGCATCTTAGGGTTCTGTACTATCAGAAGATGGATTGGGGATAGTGGAGGAAGGGGAGAATCAGAAGACTGGATAAAACAGCCTTTACATAATGCAAAGGATTAACCACTTTTAGGTTCCACAGTGAGTATAACAAGCATGCTTCACTGCATATACAGACTGCTTTTACTGTTGTGGGTTTAGTAGCACTTTAAATGTGTTGTGTTATACAAAAGGTATTGTAATGCATCCAAAGTGTAAATGGACACTTGTTTGCCTCTAATAGAAGTAATAGTAAGTTAGTCTTAGTCAATATTGGGTGTTTCTGTGGAAGGGTGGTAGTGTTCCACTCCCTTTTTTGGAGGTGTGGGCTGCTACCTTACAGGTATGACTTCAGTGTCTCTTCAGCAGAAAAGATATTTGGATAAGGAGAAAGGAGTGCCCAGTGTCTGAAATGATGCCAGACTTGATGGAAAGGTTATAACTGTTTATTGAAAATAACAACTGTACAAACCAAGCCAACATGTTTCAGGGGATAAGCCACCTCCTTCAGGGCTATCGTATAAACATAAAAAACCATGTGCACTCAGTATTTGTTATTTAGATAAAGGACTAAAACAGAAAAAATAATCCATTTTTATACAGGGTCATATGAAATTATACATATTTGATATGCACAGATCATGAATTCCCTATAAAAAGTTAAAACCAAAATTAATTGGATGTCAAAAATATTAGAGGAGCTCCATATTTATAAAAATGTAAAAGCCGCAACAAAAACTGTAGCTGCTGATTTTAAGAAAGGACACTTCTCTATCCAGAGATCTAGCACTGTGGTCACCTGAGCTGTGTTCTCCTCCACCCATCTTTGGTCACAGACACCAGCATCTTATGGGGAAAGGAACGAGCGCTGGATCTGACAGATTCAAGCCGCTAGCATAAAGATAAACCTCGTATACCCTCTTCATCAAAAGTCAAATACAGCAAAAAGTTGCAGCGCTTGAGTATATAATAAAGGGAATTACCATATATAACAGAATTAAAAGAAAAAACATTCATTTTATGACATGCACCAGATCCAACGTTCATAAATTAATGTAAACAATGGTCAGGTAAATAATAAAGGTTCATTCCACTAATCAAAGTGCCTGTAGTGATAGGGATGTTAGTCATAAGTTTTGGGGGTGTATCCAAGTGACAAGCAAATCCGTGACTTCCGTGATAGGAGAATAGCTGTAAAATGCACTAACCAGATAGCGCAAGTAAACGCGCATTGGAGTATAATGACCTACTCTGGTCACAGCCAAATGGTCCTCAGCGTAAAGCCCTCAGGAACACCAGTGCACCATTCTTGCCGTCTCCTACCACCAGGGGGAGTGCGCCTCTTTACAGTAACACGAAATCGCTTTATATCCTCTATCGCCAGGATTGGTGTGCTTTCATATCAGGAGATCATCTCAGGGACTCGGCAATAAGACCCAAAAGAAAGAAATCTTGATAGTGTAGTATTTTTATTCAAAAGGTAAAAGCAAGTAGCACACTTACATGGTAATGTCCAAAAAAGCTGATTCACAGAATCCAAAAAGATGGCCGACAGTCAGATGCATGAAAACCAAGTGGATAATACGTGGTATGAGAGGTGTCCTTATCACTAATGCGTTTCGTGGCAATGGCACATTATCAAAGGGGACACCAGCATCTTAACTGTATGCACCCTGCTGTGACAGCTTGCAGCTTCATAGCTGGGTGGTCACTGTGCATGCATGAACCGTGCTATGTATCGTGAATGGACCTGCAGTCTTCTGGGACCTCTGATGTATCCCAGAACACTGTGAGGAGGGGGAGGAGAACTTCCACTCTGATTGTCTAGGTGATCAGAGTGGAATTGGGAGCAGGTACCTGTCAAAACCAGGTGCCACTCCCCCCAAAAACTGTGTCATTTCGTGTAGAGGAAGGGGATTTTAAGTGGAACTTCCCATTTTTCTGGATGAATAAATTTTTTTTTTTTTGATTATATAGGAACAAAAACAGGTCTAATTGACATCAAATAAATAAAAGTTTCGGTTAATTAAATACTTCATAAGTTTTTAGTAGACAAAGGTCAGGTAAATTGAAAATAAAGTAGTTCAGAAAGTTTCTAGATCTGCATTTTAGGCTAGTCCCACATTATTGCAGTAACTAAGAGTAGGATATGAACAGGAATGAGAAAAAGAGGGGGGCGGATAAAGAGGTGGGAGGGAATTCGCTTCCCTCTGCAGAAATTCCTTATCAGAGCTGTCAGATTTAGAGTGAATTCCTATACAGTAACCAGGGTGTCCAAGTTACAAATATATTTTTGAACTCAGAAGTGGATGAGTTTCAATTGAGAGATTAGATCGAATGCAATCAAATAAAAGAAGCATATATGATAAAATAAATAGAATAATCATAAATCTAACAATATAAATCTATGGGCATATATACAAATGATAGTAAATTCATTAAAAATCCAGGAATGCAAAAGATTAGTCAAGTGTACACCTCTGTGGTGGGATGCATTGAAGTGAACCTGTTGCTCTGCCTTGTGTGGGCAAGAAACTAGTTCACTTTAAACCTTTGTAAGAGGAGGCAGAAAATATTGCCAGTGAAGACTTGGGCAGGTCATAAACTATGCAATTTTTCTTTCTTGCAACCATGGATTGTAGGAAAACAATCACTCGGTTTCCTCATCAACACAGCCCGTATTGATGAGGGAATCCCTCTGTGGATCTATTGTGTTCTCTCGGTAGGGTGAACAGTCCCAACTGGGGGGACACAATTACTGGTAGCTGCTATAATCGTATGAAGAATCTGACTTTGGTACAATCACCCTGGCCTCTGCTAAATTGGCCAGAATTAAAACCATCTATGGCTGGCTTTAGAAATCAAAATGGTTGGCTGGAGATTCAACCTGCCATTGCCGACATAAATCTGAATATCCATTTCCTTTGAGGCTGCTTTTAACAATTAGAACTCCTACTAAATTCTGGATGGACTTTAAAAATGTGTATACAGTGCCTATTACTATGGAGATCCTCAACTGTAATTCTTTCTTCTAGCAGACTATACAGACAAAGACTACTTGCCATCGGGAAACCATAGATAAAAGAGCCGGGACACACAAGTCAAGATCAGGAGAAACTTCTTCTTGCAAAGTGTGTGGGAAAGTGTTCGGCAATAAGTGGACTCTTGTGAAACACATGAAGATTCATACTGGAGAGCGTCCATATTCATGTGATGAGTGTGATAAGACCTACAAATGTAAAAGTCACTTGAACACTCACATGAGAACACATACTGGTGAGCGGCCATATAAATGTAACCAGTGTGACCGGAGGTTCTTCAATCACCAGCACCTTGTCCTCCATCAGGTCGTCCACACTGGTGAAAAGCCCTACTCATGCCCTGTGTGTGGGAAAGGCTTCACTCGGCAATCCAGTGTGGTCAAGCATGCCGGCATGCACACAGAACAGAAGCGCCACGTGTGCAGTGAATGCGGCAAAAGTTACTGCCAATACGCCAGCCTGATCGTCCACCTTCGACAGCACTCAGGGGAGAAACCATTTGTCTGCAAGTACTGTGAGCAAGCCTTTGCATTAAAAGATGCCATGTTGAGGCATCAAAAGACTCACGCTAGGTAAAAGCCTTTCCCCTGGCCTCGGTGCAATAATTGTGTTAACGGGTGAAGCTTTGACATTTCTGGATAGTGTCAGAGATTCTCAACTCCTGCCTGACGGTCTTATTGGCCCATCACTATGATCAGCAGCACCACCAAGCAATAGGAATGTGCTGTATGTAGGAAGGAGTCGGCCAGCTTCAGCACTATTGGAAAGTCCCGTCTCTCCGAACCATCGGAGGTTCAGCCGCAGCAGAAATGTTTTGAAGTCAGCTGCAAGTGTGTGCAGCTCATATCTGTAGAGGTTTGTCCCCTTTCCCCCTCAGTGACAGTCTCTTTACACCTTAGAGTCTTATTGGGGACTCTGTGTTGGTTAGTACAGAGTCACTTCAATTATAAAAAAATTAAAACCTGAAAGTGTTAGAGGTGTCTTTTTTTTTTTTTTCTGACCTTTTTCAAAGTGTCCATGCTACTGGTACAGTGTATATAATGTTATAATTTTATTTATTTATTTTTTTGGGATGCTGTAAAAGAAAAGGTGTTTATGCCTACCTCTCCGATGGGCGCTGACTCTTATGGTCCCATTGAAGAAGCTCTATGACTACCAACAACTCTTCAACATCCAACACCCTTCTCATGGTTGGAGATACCTGATTTCCTGGTTGTACCAGCCCTTACCCTAGGTTCACACCAAAGTGGTTTCTGCAGCATTTTGCAGAAATGCAGTACAGTCCATTTATCATGATTTCCTATGGGACAGGTTCACATCTGTGTGTTTTTCGCCTGACTTTTTTTAATGCAAAAAGTTGTGGTGTTTGGTTCTATAGACTTCAGTGACAATGCTGCAGAAAAGCATGTATTGCGGTTTTACTGCTTTTTAAATCTGCCTACCACCATGGAAAATAAACACAATGTATCAACGCAACACGAAATGTAATGCAGAAACGGCTCTAAGGCAACCTGCATAGGTGTGAACCTAGCCTTAACTCTAATGGTCCATTCACACCAGCCACAGCTTTTTATAACACAGCAGATGGTGTCCGGGTGGGCAGGATTGCTGCTGTGTACTGCAAAGTTCCCTCTCCTCCTGCAAACTATATTGAGGAGTCACACAAAGCTGTCATGTGATGTAAGAGTGATTAAAAAACAGTGCATGTAATGCAACGTGGTGTGAATTTGGCACACAGACGAGGAATTTTGCCTTGTCCTGCGATAGGACTGCACTGGAATAACTACTTAGCGCAGTCCTGCTGATTCCGGTATGAATGGACCCCCATTCAATACTGTTGGCGGTACTGACAGCGGGGCCAATGCAGAGAACCACCCCACACAGTGGGGGAGAAGGGATCTGCTACACCTGGAAGTAGGTTGGATGAGAGTTTTCAATGGTCAGATCTTCCCAATCACAACTTTATCATCTTCTCTATGATGTTTGAAATATGCGCACTGATGAATGCCCTGTCATCACACTAATTCTGCACCTGAGTCAAAGCAATAAAATATGCGTGTCATTTGCTGAACTTGTATGAGTAGAATAATTGTGGAGTAATTTTTGTAATCAGCTCTTACCAATTCACTGGTTTACAGTATGGATACAGACATCTACTGCCACTTACATGGGTACCAGCAGGAGCTAGTTAGAAGGCTGAATGGAGAAATGTCATCTGTGCTTCTTCCAGCATGCCAATGTGACCCATGAAGAAGGGTTGTGTCTGCTCCTCTTTCCATGACATGTTGACTCTTCTGGGACCTCTAGGACAGAGTTCTTCATCTGACTAACATCTTCCGACACTTAAAGCAGTATTAAACCCAACCTCAAAACTGTAAGATATTGCAGCTTCCAATTTTAGATGTGGTGTCTACATTAGTTCTCTCTTTGTCTGTTTTTTTTTTTTTTTTTTTTAACCTGATGATCTGGCCAGCCTGTATTAGAGTGAATCCACTCTGGATGAAGGCGCACAGGGGCTACCTTTTGGACAGCAACACTGTCAGCCTGGGGAGGAAGGGAAGTGTTAAATTTACTAGCAGATTTCAATACACTAACAAATTGAAGCCAAACTCCAGCTCACGCTTCATAATCAGTTACAGCTTTTATGTAAAACCTTTTATCCCCAAAAAGGAAGAAAAATGTTTGCTGTAAGCACCCCTGCCATTGTTACATGGTTTGTCTCATTTCTGTAACTGATACATTGTGCTGCAGAGCTTGTATTTAAAAAAAACAAAAAAACAAAACGACTTACTGGCCAGATCACCAGATGAAGAAAGCCTAAACAGAAAACTAATGCTGTCATCACATCTAATCGGTAAACTGCAATATAATAAATGTTTGCTTTTGGGCTTTTACGTTTACACAGCAGCAGTTTCTTAATGTATGCTCATGCATTCCTATACAAAGCAAGAAGCTGCTGATTAGCCAGTATGTCCAGACGTCACAGAGGTCTACCCTCATTAACTGTAGAACTTATTTGACAATGAGGCAGTGCATAATGTATCATAAATCAAAAATAATTACAAATAAATTGTGTAAGATATGCAGCTGCCCTTAATAGGTGGATGACCACACTTGTGCAAACTAATATTCATAAATAGACAGGCGCCTCATAAATAATGTGCATGAACATATAGGAGGCTTGTTTCACAACATGCCCCTAAAACCAAACAGTTCTATTTTTATATGTTGCACCTATAGTGGGTGCTATAATTTCCACTAACTTTACGAAAAACACAAAAAAAGCACAAAAACCAATAAAAGTCCAAATGTGAGTTTAGGTTTTTGAAAGAAGTGACAGTCCTTTCTATTCCTCTATGCTGTGACCCAAATAAGTGAGTTATTTTTTATCTTCACCACTTGCCGGCAAGGTGTATATATAAATTGCTCACTCCCGAGATTTTTTGTATTTCAATGGTTTTTGTTAATTTTTAACAGTTTAACACAGGAGCTATCAACTGCACATAAAAAATATTAAAAACCAGTGCTCGTACACCAACAGGGGAAAAGGTGCGCCCGCGCAGGGGCTATCAATGGCACATAAATGACAAAACATTAGTATAAACACCAACAGTAACTCAAACTAAAGGCAGCTATCCACTACCACACCAAGAACAAACAACAAAAAGAAAAAGGAAGAGCACAAAAGAAATAAGATAACAAAACCAAGAGCAGGGAGTCCAAGAACGCCAATACCGAACAACATCACATCCCCAAACTAGCCAGGGTGAGTGTGGGAAAGGCATATTGCAACAACGGCTCCCATATTTTTAAGAATTTACATTGGGAATCGTTGTAGATACTCGACATCTGTTCATTGAGCATCATAGTGGTCATAAGGTCCTGCACCCCCAGAAAAGGGACAAACGGGCTCTTCCAGGCCTGAGCAACTGTTCTAGTGGGCCGACAAAAACAAATAGGAAGCCAACTCCCCAGACTTTTTGACCCCAATTAAGATGGTCAGATGCCCTTGTTGGTCATATAGGGAACCATCTTCTCAGACTTTCCTAGTATGTTGCTCCCCTCCAGCAGCTCTCCATTGATAAGGCCAAAAGCTAAAGCAATGGGATTTTCGGCAAACTCTCCGATTTCATCTAGGTATTCAATGTGGGCAAATCCTTAAGGAGATGTGGTGCCAGGCTGCTTCGATAAACCAGACATGGAGTGGTGCCTATAATACCTGCACCAGTATCTGGCGAATGTCAAAGATGGTCGACGTGTGCTCCAAGCCTCGCTTACACTTTGGCTGAACGTCCCGTCCCCGGACACGGAAGTGACTTAGTGATGCTTCAAAATAAGTTTCTGCCAGCGGCGTCTTCAGGACGTGAAGCACACGTTGGCCATCTTTGACATTCACAAGCTGCAGATACTGGTGCCGGTATCACAGGCATCGCTCCATGTGAGTGCAAAATCATTCGTTTTTTGCTCAAAATGTGTATTTAATAAATGCTACACTTAAACCAGACAGATATAAAATCTTTCTAAGTGTAGCATTTATTAAATACCCATTTAGAGACCGGCTGAATATTTATCAATGTGTGGCCGCCCTTTTCAACAGAAGTCAATCGTATGATGTGTAGGAAAACTTCACGATCAGCAGCTGCAGCAATTGATCAGTGTATTCTGACAGCTGAAGGTGCTGCTGTCAAATTAAAAGGACACACTGCCACAAAATGCAAAGCAAACTTCTTAAAGTGGTTTTAAACGCAGAAGGTTTTTTAAACCGTCTGTTTAGATACACAGAATATAACTGGATACTAACAATTATACGTAAAGTTAATCCAGGGAATATCCGATTTGCTTCTCAGGGGGATCAGGAAGGAATTTTTTTTCCCTGTAGGAGCAAATTGGATCTTGCTTTGCTGGTTGTTTTTGCCTTCCTCTGGATCAACTGTGGGTATACGATTATAACTTTTTTTTTTTCTATGGTTGAACTGGATGGACTTTTGTCTTTTTTCAGCCAGACTAACTATGTGCAGCTCCCACTACTACTTACCTGAGCCCACTGTGCACAAGAGCACTGTGCAGCTCCCACTACTACTACCTACTTACCTGAGCCAACACTGTGCACAAGAGCCTCTGCTCTCTGGGGACTCTCCCTCATTGGCTGAGACAGCAGTGGGAGCAATTGGCTTCCACTGCTGTTGATCACAGCCAGTGAACCATTGATGACAGAGAGGGGGCAGGGCCGAGAGTCAGCTCTGTGTGTGAATGGACACACAGAGCAGCAACTCAGGAGCGAGCCTGCTTGAGTGCCCCGATAGCAAGTTGCTTGCTCTGGGGGCACTTGGCAGGAGGGAGGGGTCAAAAGTGGTGGCGGGGGACCTGAGAAGATAAAGATCGGGGCTGCTCTGTGCAAAACCACTGCACATTCCAGAGCAGGTAAGTATGATGTTTGCTATTTAAAAAAGAATTGCCTTTAATATGACTTTAAGATAAACAGTCTTCTGCATGCAGCTCCCTCGTCCCCAAATACTAATCTGAGCCCGATCTCAATCCAACATTATTCTCAAGAGCAGCAGCTCTTTCAGCTCTCT